AAAATTTAATCTACAGCCGCTTTGGTCCGTCCTGTTCCGGTTCTGTCTCGTCGTTCTGGTGTCGTTTCTGTTCTGGACTCAAGTCGGGCGTGAAAACGCGATGATGTCACATTTTACATGACGCGCTGGGTGTTTACTCTGACTCTGATTTCCTCTCAGCTGGACCTGGAAAGCAGAAACCAAATACTTCCAGATGCTTTCCTCAACCAGACACAGTTTACTGTCTGGGAGTTTTTAGTTGCAGTGAATTATTGTTAGCAACAGACGGAAGATTCAGCGTGTAGCAGATGAGTTTTAAATGGAGGACAGAAAGAGTCGGTGCTGCCCGGGCTGGACCGCGCCGCCTGCTGAGCCTGAATATTAATGATCCAACCAGCAGCTGCTGCCTTTCCAGCAGGGATCCGTGTCTGAGGAGAAAAACTTCATGTTATTTCTGTCATTTTGGTGTTTCAGACATGAATCACCTCTGATTTTAAGACTCAGCAGAACCAAAATACGTTGGAATGCATCAATCAGTTACATTTGAATAAAAGCACTTTTTAAACATTGATAAAAGGCTGAAACAAAATAGTAAAGTTAAACTTGATATTTTACATGTGGATGAAAAAGTGAAAAAGAAAATGAATTTAGGATTAAATGCGGTCAACATCGACTTTCACAAAGAATGAGGATGAAATGAGTTATTGCTGAGATTTATTAAAACAAACACTGGAAAGGATTAAACAAACAGGACATAGAAGTGTACATCTGAAGAAGGAAAATATATCAGTTTTTTTGTTATGTTTGCAACTAAATAGAATCGACTCCTCTTAAGTTCCTGAAATAATTGAAATTAAGCGTACAATCTTCTGAAAGTGCATAAAGTTATAAAATTAGTTGAGTTGTGCAAATTAACTCACAACTTTTGTGTATTATTTACACACAAAGTAAAGTCAACTTGTTGCATTTTACAGTGTATAAACTTTAATTTGTGGAGTTGGTTCATTCATTTTTCATCCAGCTGCTGATCAGTGGTGACATTTCTGTCCTCATCTTTTTTTTTATTACTGCATTTATTATTTCGGTTAAATAAATAAAATTGTAATGTTCCCACAGCATAATACTTTTTCAAAATAACTTTTCTCCTGTTCATCCTGAATGATGCTCTAGTTTATGGTTTAGGGGCAACTGGATATGAAACATTTAACAAATATTAATTATGAGAGGAAAGAAACATTTGAACCTATATGTATAATTTTGGATGGGTAGCAAATCAATTTTTCTATTCAGTTCAGTTAAATCTCACAAATTCCAAAATGAATTAATTTACACCCCCAATGAGTGGATGTAACCGTCTTGGTTTGATTATCTTACAAACATTTTATTGGTGTTATTTTACATCTTTCTGTTCTGAGAATCAGATTCTTTCAGCTGAACATGAACATCGTCTGTTAAACCTTCTGAATTCCTGTTGGATGTTTTCGTTCACTCCTCAGCTGATTTCTTTGAAATGGAAAAACTCACTTAAAAATGATTTATGTTGTAGAAATAAAAAAAAAAATCAGATGAAAGCATGTTTGATGCTGCAGCTGTAATCATTCAGGACCCCAGAAACCTGCCTGCATGTAACTTAGGCGTCCTCAGTGCTGCCTGCTGCTCCTTTCCTGCATTTATTTTTTTTCTGCGGGCGACTGAAAGGGACGCCTCGGCCCAAGCTGCTGCGCTGTTGCCACAGTGACGCGGTCTCCTCCGTTTCCATGGCTATAAAAAGGCAGGCGAAACAATGGTTGTGGAGGGAGTGAGGGGCCGACTCCAGATACAAAAGAGGGAGAGAGAGAGTTCGCATTTTAATTTGGAGCAGGAGAAAAGAGGTGAACACGGAGAGGAGTGAATGATCAAGTCTGAGCAGAAAGGAATGATGAGAGGAAAGAAAGAGACAAAGAGGGAGGGATGGAGGGGAGGAGCTCAAACAGACAGCGATGAAAGGATGACTTTTAAATCTGAGCGTGAGGGAGGTCATAGAGAGAAGGGGAGAAAAACACAGGAGGAGGGAAAGAGGAAGAAAAACACACAGAAAGAGGAGAAAAAAGTGGAAAAAAAGAAAAGTGAAAAAGATTCTTCAGAGTTTGGATTGTATGATGGCGTAATAGCGCCAGGCTAAGAAGTAGAAAATAACAAGAATAAAATTGTACAACAATAAGTCGTAATAAAACGAAAAAAAGGAAATAAAAGAGAATAAAGTCATATTATAAGAAAAAAGTTGTACATAAGTCACAATAATATGAGAAAAAGTTGAAATATTACAAGAATAAGCACAATATTACGATAAAGTCGTTCAACAGCAAGTCGTAATACAAGAAAAATCATAATATTGAATTCCTACATTTCCCATAATGCAGATGCAGTTCTCCAACAGAGAGCTTTATTTGCTGTTTTGATTAAATGAACTAATTTAATTCTAATAATTGATCTCACAGGAAGAAGCTCAGTTTTTGTAACGAAGCTCAGCACATTTTTTCTTCTCTTTCAGTTCTGGAGGGCGGCTCAGAGAAACGCTCCTCGGTGTCACGCCACATTTATTCCCCAGGGAAACATAAACTCATAGCTCACTAGTTACAAGTTCCTAGAAACAAATGGAAGTGTACATTTTAGCAAAAAGCTTTTAGAAAAAGATTTTTACCCAGTAGTTTTTTGTTTATCCATGTATTTTAATAAAAGTTTGGACAGATTAAGCTGCTGCAGTAAAACATGAGTTTATTTGGAAGCTGAAAATGTTTCTTCTTTCTCATTAGGCAGCAGAGATGATCTGATTTATTTACCTTCATTCATGATTCCTTTTTTCATTCTTTCATTTGCTCTTGGTTTTATGTTAAGCACTGATTGAGTTTGCCTTTAAAAGTCCAAACTGAGAATCAGTTCAGACGCTAATCCGAGTCACACGACGGCTTTGATTCGATCTCCTGAGAGTCATTTAAACCTCACAATTCTGGGAAGAATGCAGGAGTTGGATCCTGGTTCTGGTTTTCTGATTTCTTGACAGACGTTTCGCCGCTCAGGGAGAAAACATTTGTTTCCTGGTTTCCAGCTGAAGTCTCTGTGAAGCTGAGGTGTCGTCATGTTGATGTGTTGAGAACTTCATGTCCTTTTGGCTCAGGGAACGCAGTCGCTCTGCAGCTGGATTCTGCACACATGCAGCATTTAATGCACAGAGCAAGTTTACTCGCATCAGCCTCAGAAAACAAGAGTTTTCTGCTCTGTTGGGATTCGTTGCCACACCAGAAAGTTTGATTCTCGTTGAGGATTTCCGGGTCGAATGGGAAGCAAATGAAAAACTTGTTAAATCTGGTTTTAGAGAGTGTTTATATGTTGGAACAGCTGACTATCATATTTAATAACATAAATGGAGCCAGGTGAGGTGGATATTTCTTCCTCCTGTTAGTGTTGATCCAGATGTTCGGTCTGAAGGTTTGTGGTCATTTTGCTTTTGATTTTATTTTCAGATTATTCTTTAAAGGTTCCTTCAATGTTTCATAAAACTGAGAATGAAAAAAACAGACAAAAAATATAATAAAGCAAATAAACAATTATAATAAGATGAAAATTTAGAAGAAAACTAAAATAATAATTAAAAAAAATTATTTCACTAATTATAAAAATTTAACAATATCTGAATATTTAAAAAGTAAGTGGAAAAGACAATAAATAAACTAAAAATAAATAGAAAAAGAATCAGAACTAAATAAGGTGAGAATATTACCTAAAACTACAATAAAATAAAATAAAACTACCAAAAAATGTTTGACTAAATCTCAATAATTGAAAACCAAAATATAAGTCAGTATTACTATAATAAAATTAAAATAATAAAAATAGTTATTAATTAATAAATAACAGGAGAAGGAAAGAGATAAGAATACAACTTAATAATAACAAACAGTAGAATAAAAATCCAAACTGAAACATATTAATGTACGAAAATAAAGAATTAAAAAGCAAATGAAATAAGATAAGAATGCAAACTACAAGTAATAATAAAAATACAAAATAAAACTAAAATAAATTAGTGAAAATTAATTAAGCCAGTGAATATTGTCCAGTCTGCCTGTGTTTTGCTGAGAAACAGCTTTAAACTGGAGGAACGGATGAATCATCATGTTGTGGAAAAGAGGCTTTTCTTCTCATCCGTCCTTCAGCTTGTTGGTGTCAGCATCAGTAAAGCTGCACAGAAAGGCTTTTCCTCATCAGGTTGGAAAGTTCCTTCATGCATCTTTTATCCATCTGAATCCAGCATCGATCCGCCCGCGTCTCCTTTGATTACCGGCATCTGCTCAACTTTCTGTTCTGGAAACGGTTCGGAGCTGGATGGGCTTCCATGGAGATCACTGAGAGTCAGACTATCATAAGGAGTCGATGCTGTTTCATCATGCAGGAGTTTATTTACAAACATTCTGGATCAAATGGTAATAAATCCAGTGATTCGTCCGTTTGGTCTCACATTAGTAACATAATCAACCTGTAGGTGGCGGTGTGCTCCAACAATTGACCTCAACTGTCATCAAAGTTAACAAAGTTTACAAGTTCACAGTTTATATTTGGACTTTGCACAATAAAAAAGTGGAAATATTGTTTTAACAGAAAAAAGAGTTACAAAGAACCGTGGACGTTTATCCTGATTCTGCTGACGCAATCACTGACCTTAATAACATGGTACGTAACATTTGAAGCGGATTTAAGACAAAATTATTTAAAAAGTTTCATTTCCAACTTTCTTTCAGTTACTTAAAGATTCAAAATGTTGGATTTCATTGATTTATGTTCTCTTTTGTTTTCATCTATGCCTTAGTAAAGATCACTCAGACAAAAAGCATATTCAATGATGGTCTAAAGTAGTTTTTAAGAAAAACAAAACAAAGTAATAAAATTGCTTTCAAAATAAAAGGTTTCAGCTTTAGCATAAAGACAAAAATCACATTCACAATTTCTAAAATGCACAAATGAAAAAGAGCCTGGAGAGGTGGAGGTAAGATCTTAATATTTATTTCAAAAATAGAAAAAAATCAGAATATTTTAGTCTTTTATTCTTATTTACAGGAAATATTTTCTCAATCCAGCAATCAGGTGATCAATGGTGGATAATGAAGACCAAAAAATTCATAATTACATGAAACTTTATGTGACAAATAGAGCACATTTTTTATACTAATAGAATGATAGCCAATAAATTAGTGTATATTAATTTACAAATTATACATAAAACAATGAAATAATAAATTTAAAGGACATAAAATGTTTCTTGGTAATTAAGTAAAAAGTAGACACAACAGGGGATTTATCTTAATTTTGAAGCTCAAAACCTGTTTGACAAAATATGGTTAAATGAAAAATACATTACTTAAATCAATAAAATCTAAATTTTGAGATAAATAAGAAGCAAAAAGCAACAAATAAACAAACAAACTGCCCGTCTGTCCGTGCACTGAGCAGCTTCTTCCACCAGGGGGCGCCGCAGCTCCACTTTCCTGCCGCTACGTAACGCGGCAGCGAGCCGCTCTTCCTCGCCGGGTCCGGGAAATTCCTGCGGCCGAGCTTCCTGGTGCGGCCGGCAGAGGAGGGATGGCAGCCAGTCACAGCGGGAGGAACCGAGAAACCAGAGCAGAAGAGGGAGGGACGGAGACACGAAGAGGGACAAGGAACAGACACGTTCACGGAGGAGCCGGAGACAGAGCCGCAGCCTCACGGATACAAGCGGCCATTTCGGCTTTGGGAGCTCGGCCGCCCGCTGCGGATCCTCGGGACGCAACCTGGGGCTGAGCGGAAGGAAGGGAGCCTGGATACGGACTGACGTGGAGCTCCGCCGCATTAAAAACGGAAACAAGCCCACGGGAGCACTTCTGTGGACGCTTATCGGCGTGTTGGATATATTCCCTCCCTCCCAGCGAGCAGCGGTCACCGGGCTGGGAGCCGCTCCGGTCCCACTCCGGTCCTACCGGCTAACATGGAGAGATAACGTTTATATAACCGACGCCTGCTGGTTAATTTGGACACTTTCGAAGCTTTTTGGTCGCCTTGGTGTCCCTGAGGATTATCTTACCTCCGAGCTCCTGCTTTCAATGCATCTTCGTCATCGAGCCCGCACCGGCTGCTGCTGATTCGGACCCCGGCGCTGGGAAGGAGCCGGACGGGACCACTGCGGTAGTCTGCAGGCCGACCCCATACCGGGGCTTCACTTCACGGCACCATGGCCGGGTTCATACCGGGGCTGCTGCCGACAAACCACTCCCAGGAGAAGCAGTTCGCCCAGGCGTATGAGGATGTGCTGGAGCGGTATAAAGGTAACATAAATGACGGAAACCTGACTCCATGTTTAGCGGCAGGAGTTGTTTTTCTGGAGGAGCGAAGGGAAAATGATCCCAAACATGTGGCCCTGATTGCCCGAAAGCTGATATTTGGGCTGACAACCTGCCTGCTTCATCATCCGGGTTGTTTCATTGTGATGTTTTGGAGAAACTTCCAGCTCTGCTACATTATTGGTCTCCTATCAGCTTGGGAAACTTTTCATTTCACTAAACAAACACTAGCAACGCTTTTATGAAGCCCACCTGTGGTATGGAGCGCCCGAAGTGCCAAAATGTTCCAAATAAATAATGATGAAATATTCATCTACACATTTCATACATATCTTACATTTATTCATTTGAAATTTAGAAGAATATTGAATAAATTGATTTAATTGGAGGGTCTGTAATTAATTAGTTTATTCGAATAAAAAACTATATGAGATAATATTTAAATCAAAGCTAGAAACATTCTGCTGCTAAATTATTGGAATAAATAGATAGGTTCATAAACAAATCGGTTATTTAGGTTATTCAGCCATCAAATTGAGGCAAAGTAGCATTTCAGCTTTTAGCTAGCTCTTCAGTAACCCTCGATTATTCCTGTACCTTTTTTGATGAGAAGAAGAATGTGTACTGTGGACGCTGACATTAGCTTTAGGGATGTCTGGGCTGCTGCTACATAGCAATATAGCATTGAAATGCTATTTTAGGATGAAATAGCTTTGCTAATAGGCTAACTCCTTTTAGCATAAATTGAACCGTCTTTTCCAGCGTCCAATCAGATCATTTTTTGAAGGAGAAATTGATCCCCAGGTGGATAGCTCTGCTCCCTGACTGGTGGCAAAGACTGACAGAAGGAATTTCTGAAATAAATGCAGAAATTAATAATATTATTTTATACTCTGTAAATATATGCATTTATTCAATTTGATATTAATCAATTTTACACATTTGCTTTCATTTGGTTAAACATTCGGGCCCTTTTAGACTTCCATACTCCTGCAGAAATGGTTTGCTTCCCCACCACAGAGGCTGTTTGTTCTGTAAATATGAAACCTGCAGCTCCGGCAGTCAGTTCAGAGGTCCAGTTGGTCCTATCAGTCGTTTTTAACGGGTCTGGACCTTTTTACCTCTCTGTTCATGAAGACTCAATGTTTTATGATGCCAGTGACAGGGCTGCGTTAAAAATGGATGCCTCCACTGGCCGCTGCTGACGGTTTGGGGGGCAGAGTGTAGGAAGGGACTGCACACTCTGGGTCACATCTGCAAGGCTGGCTGTAATGAAAAGGAGGCGGCTCTGAATTATTGATTATTGAACTGTAACGTGACTCCTCTGGGTTTGGGTTTTAGGCGGTCAGATGTGGTGGGTAAAGTGGAACACGAGGAGTTTTATTCCCTCCAACTGGTAGTAAGTGATAGTTTTCAGCAACAGAAACAATAAATAAAATTAATCATGAAGTCTATGGAAGCAAAATTTTCTTCAAAATATCGAAGCTAGTTTAGACAGGGTCAGGGTAATCCTACCCTAACAGCTGCTGAAGGTTTTTGTCATCCAGTTTTTGGTAGAAAGAGAAAAGTGATAAATTATGCAATGGAACTTGTTTTAATTCGTCATGTGATTAATTGATTTATTGCCTGTTTTGACAGGCCTGGCTGTAAAACAAACCCGGCGTTATCGGCTTTATGAATGCTGAATTAAATCCCAGCGGTTGTTAAAGTCGCCCAGGAGGAAACGGGAATACTAATCCCATTAAATCTCGTTGACTTCGCACGTTGACGCCGATGGATTTGCTTCTGCTTCCAGGAACAGCGGCGCTCCATCTCTCTCCATTATGGCGCCCGGCGTCGGTCGATCGGTCGGCCTGCAGTTTATCTCCGAGCCGATTGGCTTTTACTTTGATAATTGAGGAAGGCATTAGAGGTGAGGTGATTGTAAGTGGCCCTTGTGGCTCTTCTGGAGCAGCTGAAATATTGATGGATAAATCCAAGTCGTCACATTTAAACTTCCTGGAAGTTAAATTCAATATTTCCTCCTGCAGAATCAGCTACAATCTTAGCGGGAAGATGCATCTGGACTTTTTGTATCTCATGAGATTTCTGGTCATTTTATCCCTTCAATTTTTATACTTTTTGTCATTTTCTAAACAAATATTTAGGTCAAATTGTGGAGTTTTCCACCAAATGTTTCTTTTTTTGATTTCTTTCTCCTTGTGTTTATTTTGGTGAAGAAAGAAGGCGGACACGTTCAGAAACATGTTTTCTCTTAGTAGGAGATTTTTATCAGACTGGAACTAACAATTATATTCTTTTATTATTTTTTTAATTTAATTTTCAGCCAGTTGAAGTTAAAACAGAACAGATTTACATACAAAGTAGTTTGTTTTTCTGTCTTGGATTCAAAATTCATAGATTTTGTTGAATTGTTTTGGCTTCATTGCTGCTCTGTGTGTGTTGTTCTTTCAGCAAATGGCTCTGTAACAATGGCCCAGCAGTCTTTTAATACTCAAGTTAATGATTAAAGATTATTAGTTGACGACTATTTCAAAATCAATTAATCGCGTTCAACTTTAGGACCAGTGGAAGCTGTTTAAACATGTCAGGTTTGGTTAATCAAGCAGTTTCTTTCTTTCTGTAAAGAAATAAGTTTTGTGTCGAAGCGTCCATTCAGTCACTCGTCCCGTTGGAGCTGCAAGTTTTAACTTTTTGCACGTGAATTGTTCGGTCTCCACTCTTGAACCACATGCAGGTGGAACAGCCGCTCTCAGTGATTACCCATCAGGCCTTTGGAGCGGCAAACCGGGTCTTGAGGTGGAGACCTGGGTCCAAACCCAGAGCAGGTGGGTTTGGACGGGTTCTCCTGATTATTGCTCCTCCTGTTGGTGGGAAGCGGCTAAACTTTGAGTGCAGACGGATTTAGGTTGAGTCGGGGTCAGAGGTGACGGGAACCCAGCGGTACTCGCTGTTTGTCTGCTTTATTGGTGTTCAGCTTCAGATGTGTCGGCCGCCTTTAATTTACAAGCTTGTTTCTCCTGCCTGGTCTAAATCCGCTTCACCGTCATGAGTTGTAATCTTTACTATCGTAGTTTATTCTGCTTCTTTAGTTTCCTCAGGGCTGTCAAAAGGTTTCAACTGCAGTTCAAAAACGTTACATATTTTTTAAACTTTGTGACCAACATCATTTTCTTACAATGCAAAATGTTTGTAGCCTTATTTATGGTATTTCTGAAAGGTTTATATTCTGTGTAATGCAGAAATGTCTGCCAAGTTATTTAATATAAAACTTTTTCTCTGAAACTAGAGCAGCTTCTGTGATACTTGAACTTCTGATGGAGTCTAAGTGTTTGTTTTGGTAGCAATATTATTGAAATAAAGAGTTTAATTGCTGGGAAAAACTCAACTAATTTGGATGTTATTTTAAGCACAGGAGGTTTTTAAAGGTCAGAGGAAAGCAGAATCATTTCTTTATTTGAAACCAGTTTAACCAGTTAAACTTGGCAAATTAAAGGTGACCTGGACGGGTTGCTCTGTGCTTGGTCTCTGCAGCCTGGGCTGTGTGCACGTTTATTGTCCTGTCAGCTGTGTGTGAGTCATCTGCGGCTGTCGTCGGGTAGAAAACGGGAACCCGGCGTCCTTGTGCTGGGATTAATCCTGTGAAACTGGAGGTGGACATGCGATCCAGTTTAAATCTGTCACTGCGTCTGTTGGCTGTTTGTCGTCCTGGGCAACAATAGCAGGACGTGTGAAGCAGTAATGATGGGGTCCAAGTGGAAAAAACCCAGACCTGAGTCAGAACCGGGGGAAACGGTCCGACAGTTTGTCCCCGGCTAACGCCGTTATTATCATGCAGGACGCAGCCGGTTCTGATCCTTCAGCTTTTTCACCCGTTTCTGATTCTCAAAAGCTGCTTTGAGGTTTGGTGAAGGAAAAAACGTCTGCAGCCGAATATAAAGCAGGAAATCTGAGAGGAACTAGAACAATTGGACATTTTTAGCTGGAGACGGACAGGAAGTTGCTGTCATAACTCTGACCTCTGCGGACGTGGACAAGCTTTTAGGAGAGTAACTTCAGAAACACGTGATCCGGTTGGTTCTGTTGACTCACAGGATCGTCAAGTTAAAGACAGTCACAAAATACATGTGTTAAAGTAAAAGCACAAAATAAAAGAACTGGAAGCATTCAGCATATCAGCACCGAGTTGATAAACACAGATTGATAAACAATCAATTAATCCCTTAATACATTTCCATGCTGATCGTTTTGAAAAGAGGAATAAAGCATATATATGTTTTATTTATGGCTTTGGTTGTAAATTGTTTTTATTTTAGTTTTTTATTGTTTATTCATTTTGGATATTATTCTGCCGTATATTGGATTATTACAAACCTTTTAGTTCCAGAGATTAACTGATGGACGTTGGTGAAAGTCTCTGCTGCTCCACCTTTGTGTCTGCTTTACTTTAACTGGGCCGTTTTGAAACATGGAGGAATCGTTGAAGCTCCTGGTTTGGGCCCGGACATGTCTGGAGAGGCGCTGCGGTTCTGATGCGTCTGCGGGAATCTGAGCTTCCAGAGTCGGATCATTACAGCTTGAATTTTCCATGTGACCTAGTTTTGCTTTCTGACTCCATCGCTCCGGGTTTCCCTCCGCATAGAGCTCTTCCTCTCCTCCTCTTCCTCTCCTCCTCTTCCTCCACCTCTCGCCTTCATCCAGAGCTCTGCAACCTTAGAAATAAAGAGACTCATTTCACCTCCAGTACAGACTGGAGGTGAAATACAGACTGCTACATTAGCTCTTTCCTGCCATCACCATCTACAATAACTCTTAAATAATTTGAATCAATATGAGTTAAAACAACATTTAAATCAATTAA